GCATTGAATTTTCACGCTTTAAAATGCAGAATATTAGTGAAGCAATATTTGATAATTTATTTTGCTAATATGTTTCTTATTTAGCTAATGTTTTGATTTTTTCACCATGTACAATCTAAATAGCTAATATACTTTTTTAAAAGACAATAAGAACATACATAGTATTGTACTTATGTAGAAGAATTCTATGTCTTTGATGATAAAATACTATGTCTTTGATGATAATATACTATGTCTTTGTGCTAGAACATTGCGTTCATTGGCGATCGAGCGCAGAGAGCCATGGTTCACGGCGTGAACCACATAGGATTGCGTAGCAATTGTCGGGGGTTGGCGAGCGTTAGCGAGCAGGGGGTGGAGCCTCCTAGTATAAATTATTTCCAGAGGAACTAGACTAATACAATTCCAACCTGGCGAGTAGCGACTTATAACAAGACACTTCGTTTGATGCTTTTACTTGTTGCTAGAAATCAGGTTCGCAGAAAATGCTGTTTACTAGTTAAATTTAGTAGGAATAACACGATCTGTGACGTAGGCTATAGTATACCCAATTATGGAATAATTTCGTTAAATGAAAAGATAACTGTAAACATAATTTAAAGTCTAAAAATATTATTAAATATCTGGCTAGCAAAAGCATGAAAAAAAAGAAGAAACAAAACATATAACGAGATAAATAAAATAAAAGCACGAGATTTTGATGGAATATCAGAAAGTTGTTGATTTTTCAGAAGGCTGGTTTTTGTTTTTGGAATTTGAGGTTCATTCTAATCCGTTACGAGTTTTTCTATATTTTTGCAAGGTTGTTACTAACCTCTATATTTTTGCAAGGTTGTTGCTAACCCGTTGCGGATTTTTCTATATTTTTGCAAGGTTGTTACTAACCCGTTAAGGGTACTTTAATTTTGTTACTTTATGTGTAGTTTTTAAACAAAAGATGTTTTTTTTTATAGAAAAAACTGTTTCTAAATATAGCTTAATACGTTACAACGCTAATGTTACCAACCATAAATATAACTCATTAATATATTTTATGCACTATAATTGCATATATTACTGAAATACACTGCAACAGTTCAATATTTCTTATGTTCCCATTATACAACTTACATCGAATATCTGCACATGTAATTGAATAATCACAAGAAACTGAAGCGGGAAGTTATACTTTCTGATATAAGACTTCATTTACTTCAAAAATATAGAAAATGCTAGATAGAAATTGATAGTAATAAAGGTTGACATGTTTCGAGCGCTCAAAAATAGGCACACATTCGCCAAATTAGCCATGCGCGAAAGAGGAAAACTGAAGTGATTTGAAACAGAAAGCGTGAAATGCCAACGAAAAAAAAGGAAAATAAATTCGAAAAAAATGCTGTAGCCGAGAGTAAAGCAGAAAGCAAATGAGCGAAAAATGTTTTAATTTTCGTTCTTTGTTTCACTCATGACTACAGTGGATTTTAAAGAGTTGTTTTTCACTTTCATTTTCCATTTTTCGTAGGCAAATTAAAAATGCTTGTTTCAAATCACTTTTGATTTCCTTATTCACATCTGGCAGGTTTTGAGAATGGGTGCCTATTTTTGAGCGCTAGATACATGTTGATTTTTATTACCATCTTCATATTTTTTGACACAAATACTGTCTTACATCATCAAGTATATCTGCTAATTGATTTAGGATAATGGCCGATTATTTTTATTCAGTAGAAGCAGTTTCTTAATTTAAATTATTGCACTACATAAGTTTATGTAGAGACCCATGTCGCAAAGAACCTTCTATCGAAAAGATTAGATTTTAACAGAAAATAGATTTATCATATGGTAAAAAGAGTAAATTACTGACTTCACTATCAATTTGCAAGTAATTGTTATTAAAAATGCATACTAATCTCGGGTAAAAATGATACAGTCATAAAGAATATATATTATTCGCGATGGTCATTAGTAACTGACAGTTATTAATAGTCACCTAGAATTGAAGATGCCCTGAAAAAGCAATAAATTACCAGTAAATAAATGGATTTGAAAATAAATGATGTCAGAATAGGTGATAATTGAGGTTTATAGCGAGGATGAACAGCTTATTTTGTATGTATGTGAATTTTACTAAATATAACGTTGATTTATTGTTTTTATTTGACTAGATTTGTTTTAAGTTTTTAATAGCGAGAAAATAAAGTACCTCAAATATAAATGTAGTGTTAAGCACTTCATATTTCTTCAGTTCTTATCAAAATTATTTTTTAATATATTTGTACTATGAAATCCGTGAAAAAAAAAGCATACGCATTCTTATTTACTGAAAATTTTTTAATAAAATGTACAGAGCGCAAAAAAACACCCTGAATAACTGTTAAGCTAATGATTGGATTTTTACGTAATAGGACAGGATCTTAATGATTCGAGGTGGTTGACTTCGAATATGCTAATTAGTTAGTGCAGACGATATTTTAAATTTCGAAATCAGTAGCAAAAGTGTGCTTTCTCTGAATTATAAATTCCGCATATCAAATACAACACAAAAAATAACTTTTAATAACTATTTTTTTTGTTATTTTATTAGTTGATTGTCGAGACATTTTTGAATTGGAAGTTATGCAATTTTCACAATTTACCAGATTGCGGTTAACTCCTAAATTTTTTAAGTTAGAAAATCGTGATCCGTAGAAAAAAGGTATATTTTTTTAGTGAAAGTGCGTTTTTGTGTAACGTTCGTTTTTGTATTTTGTAACTTAAAATATCGCCAGCACTTATAATTTAGTCTATTTGCATATTTATCATAAAAAATAGCGCCTATGCTTTGGAAAATATGCAAATTTTCTGTCTCTTGCTTTAAGTAGTCGTTGTAGTTCTGCATAAATTTTGACATTGTTGATGTATGTAAAAGGAAAGAAAACGTATTGTATTGCCCAGTAAAGATGTTTGGTAGAATATTCGTAAAATAAGCTTATATTTTTACGTGGGTAATTGTGTAAAATTTTCGATTTTTTTTTCTTTTTTGGAGGAGGGGGGTAACCATTTTTTGCTGTGTCTTGATTTTACGATTGTTGTGTAGTAAAGATAAAATACATCTATTTTTAATGCCAAATTTATATTTCTCTGCTTCATGGGCTATAGTGGGAGAAAACGTAAAGTTACAAGAAAGAAAACGAAATAATAAATGCATGAAAAGTGCACAATAAAGTTCGACTGATTTTTTCGCTTTAGTCATCATTTCACTTTAAATTTTATGTTCAAAAAATTTCAAATCAAATTAAATTTTTCAATACAAAATAAAACTGTTAGCAGAATACAAGACAAAAAAAACCTGCATCAAATGGGTCACCAAGCTTCCAAATAAATTTGTGAAAATAATGGTTACACTTATACTTCGTTCTTCCCATTCCTTCTGTGTAAATTGATCTATTTTCTCCATTCATTTCATTTGTGTGAAATACGTGTTAAACTGAGGAAAAAAAAGTGCAATAAAATAATTTACAGATAGTTGACAAATAATAATTAACAGATTCGTCACTGTTGACGTATTGCTGATTATGTTGTGATTATGATATTGCATTAATGTTGTAATATTGTTGCTTTCANACACACACACACACACACACACACACACACACACACACACACACATATATATATACATAATTTCTGTGTGTTCATTTCATTTGTACGAAATAAGTGTTAAACTGAGGGAAAAAAGTGCAATAAAATAATTAACAGATAGTTGACAAATAATAATTAACAGATTCGTCACTGTTGACGTATTGCTGATTATGTTGTGATTATGATATTGCATTAATGTTGTAATATTGTTGCTTTCATGGTACATAAGGCGTGTTGTGCACTGTACGATGCTCTTGTATTGACCTGTTTTTTTAAAAATAAATGTAAAAAAGTAGAACGAAAAAAAATAATACTTATTCCTTGACCTTTTCAGTTGATCACGATAAGAAAATATCTGAAGGGCTCTTTCTGTAACTTAATTTACTATTTACTATTATGCCACTTAGCACCTTCTCCCCTGAAGTTTTAGGAAGTTAGAAACTATTGTGTATTCCGACTTCCAAAGTCTTTTCTCCTCAACTTTAATTGCCTTTTATAATGGTTCCTCAAGAGTGTGACGCATAATTGCGTCTGTTGCAAAGGTTTCGTATACATAATTCAGATTCAAAAGATCATGTCAATTTTTTTTCCGTGACAAATTTCACTGAAAGAACACACATGTTTGAAACTGTCTAGAATAGTTATATATACTTTCATTGCATTTTTTTTTTTAAATTTTTTGAAGAGGCCATCAAGAATTTTGACTTGGGTATAGATACGGTGGCACAGGGAACTTAGCACTCTTATTATAGTTGGGTAACTCAGGTTCAAATTTCAGCGATTATAAGAAATACTGTTTCTGACTAACACAAATCACGCTGCTGAAAATATTCTTACCTTGTACGAGTACAAATTTAATTTGACGACTACAAATTTACTTACGAGTGCAAATTTACTTAAAGGAAAAAAAAGTACTTGTTTTGGTATGGTAAAAAATCGTTGAGACTACGGATTTACTTTGTAAATTTTACGGTTTTGCCTGTTTAAAACTATAAATTACACAGTATATATACATTCTTTTTTGTAATAGGAATTGAATACAGGTGCTTTTGTAATGTTCTTTACGGCCCTTTCTATTGGATTAACACAAAATATGTTCTGATTATTTTATCTCAGAATGTCACATTGATCAAACGTGGAAAAATCATTAAGTAACTTACCTACTGCTGCTGGCGTAGCTGTCGATGCAGGCACTGTAATTCCAAGAAGGAACCGAAGAAGAGCAAAACAACCGAAATTGGGTGCTAACGATGACATACACCCGAAAAGGCACTCGCAGAACATAAAAAGGAAGAAACTGAAGCGGCGACCCTGCCTGTCAAATAGAGATGATGCCAAATAGAGATGACAAATCAAATTAAGATGACATTTACTAAATAGAGATGACATTTACTAAAATATAGATAACAGTTACTAAATAGAGATGACATTTACTAAATAGAGATGACATTTACTAAAATAGCGATGACATTTACTAAATAGAGATGACATTTACTAAAATAGAGATGACAATTACTAAAAAAATATTTATAACAAAAATAAGTTGTTTTTTTTCAAAATTTTTTATTCGGTCTTCTGTTAGCTTTATTATATAGGTAATTTATATGAATGGAAACTTGCTACCGTCTAGCAAAATATCAGGTCCTGCCTTTAGTCTCGCTACTGGCCAATGACTGTCTAGTAAACATTTGTATCGGATATACATTGTTCCACGCCTAATTTGTAAATATTGTAACACATGTCAAGAGATGAATGCCCTTTTTTTGAATTGCTACCCTGCTCTTGAATCTCTTTGAAAGGAATATAGGGAGGCTAGACTCTAATAAAATTTTATGGACTATACAGTAGACTCATTTCATTTGTTCATTGTTATTTTTTATAATTTTTTGTTTTGTTTTCAACTTCTTTTGTCTACAGTTGTCTTTGTAATCTTCCATTAGAAATAAAAAAAAGGAATAATTTATGAAAACCCATATGATCTGCAATATATAAACGTTTGAAAGAAATTAAAAATTAAAATTAAATTTTTAAAACAAAAAATTTTATACCGTATAAAATTAATTTTTGCTTTTTTAGCCAGATCACTGAAACTAATTATTTCATTTAATTGGGTATTTGCACTTCAAGAAGAAGACCACGTATACCCACACACGTGACATATGACGTCAGCTGATAGTTTATAAGCTGATCTAAGTTTCTCCACATAAGTTGGAATGTTAAATAAATATAGTGCCGTATCACACATTGAATTTATTGAAATATGATTCTTTCTCTTCTCCGTCTTTTACTTAACTTAGATTTATCATATGTTTATGCATTTTAATGTAACCATGATATATTTTTTGTTTGTGTACCTGGAAACTTCGATGCATAATTAGTTAATGTTCTTAGTTAATGGTTTCATGTCAGTCTTTGTGTTAAATAAGAAATATATAGTGAAAGAATTGAAATCTTTGTGAAAGAATCTTCGTGTAAGAATATAGAATGTATCATTTAAGAGAATTGTTGCTTGATTGGATTGGCTTATTCGAAATATAATGGGAAGAACAGTTGCTGATCTAAACAGATGCCACGTTTCAACAACCAATCAGGATCAAGATACCTGCACTACGTCGCTTGCAGGCACCCTATTATGGAACTAATTTAGTCAGAAACAACTTAAATGAAAATAAAAAAGGAATGATTAAAATTCAATATTGATTAGTTATAAAACTTTAACATCCTATTTTTACGTTTTGAAGATATAACACTATTATCTCTGAACCATATCTTTAACGCATTGACATTATAGAATTTATTTGTTGTCGTTTTTGTATTGGCGAAAGAGGCACTGAATAACCTTTGATCTACTTATCCAGTTGTAAAATTAGATGTACACAACACATTGGGCACATCTATCAAAAATAAGTAAGAAGAATAATGAACAATGGTTGACCGTTTCAGAAATAATTTCACTCAGAATGTTAAGTTCCTTAACCCTAACCTTAACTAATTAAGCATAGTAATAAGTGTAACTGCCTAATTCGTCAAGTTTCTCAATGAAACTTTGTTATTATGTTCGATATGTATAGCAGGTTTTAACACTATATAAAAAAACTACATTCAACTTTTTGGAATTCTATAGTTACCTATAGGTGACATAAAAATACAAAGGCAAGCTCAATAACTCTCCTATTCCATATAAGATGAGAGCGAACGTTGGTAAAAAGCTTCGATCACACACAAGATCCCACTGCAAGGAAATAAGAAAAAAATTATTTTTTTACATAATATAGCTAAAATTATGACAGATTTTTAAGAAGGAAGGTAATAATTAGCCTCATAAGACTAATAAAAATATCAACATACAAATTGGGTTGAAAACACATCATATTCTATTTTTTTTTTAAAAAACATACATAACTTTTTATTGGGGTATAAATATTACTTTTTAAAAAAAAAAACTAACATCAGTGTAACAAACTATATCTCAGAGAACGATAATATAGTAAAGGTATTGTAAAATAATCATAAAGTGAGAAAATATACGAAACAGAAAATGTAGGGTGCCCTACAGATAATTTCAAGATTTAAAAAATTAAAATCTCAGAAATAAAGGACGGTAGGAAAGTTAAATGTATATTTATTGTAAAAGCGGTAAGAGTCTTATGCCGAAATTTTGGAATTTAGTTAAAATTATTATTAATCGATTGCGCTTAAATTAATTTATGATACGATCAATTAGTTTTAGCGTTCAAACATGATAGACGTTGTCGTACTGGATTAGAAGTTTTAAACTAGGCATTCTACTGAACAGCATGCGTTTCCGGTACTGGAATATCACAGATTTGATTACTTGGCATTAGTATACTTACCAAGAACTTTGTGCACTATTCAGCGCTATCTGTTGGCAACTTTTGTAACCAAATTCCAAAAGTTTTGACTAAAATTTTTATCACCTTCACAATAGACATACCGTTTGTTTCAATCCATTGTCGTTCTTTGTTTCTGAGATTTTTAAGTTTGAAATCAGTAAATTTGTTAGATACAATGTCCATTAAAAGAAAATTTTACGAAGTGAAAAAAAAAATCAGATAAAATGCTCAAAATAAAATATTATTGAATAGAAAGTAAACTTAGTTGATTCGTGAATCATTGAAAATAATTAAAAAAAAACTTATTAATTAAGCAATATTCATTCATATATCATTAAAATTCAAAACCGAAAATAATATCTTATTCAAAATTCTTGAAAATAATCAACGTGGCTTCCACTTTAAGTTATTCTTTTAACAAATCGATTTTACAAACTGTCATAAAAGTTTTAAAGAATACCATTTATTTCGTACGAAATTATTTTTTTTCTCTCTTTTTCTTTTAGAAACTATCATCATCATCGCCCATAATTTTTACCCGATTCCTTCTCAATTTTCGGTTTGATTCAAATGTCTTCTTTTTAAATGAAGGAAGCATAAAAAGTCATTAAAGTAAAAAATATTAATAACTGAACTGATATGAAAAAGAAAAGAAAGGAGAAAGAATACGAACGCGAAGAGAAAAGTAATAAGAATTCTTGTTTTCCGTAGAAAACAGTTTTTGACAGTTCTTTTCTCTTACCTGAAGGCTTTTACTTGAAGTGATGGCATATTCGATTTATAAGAAATTTTATTATATTTTAGGATATCCGTCGGAAGTTTGTACCTGACGTTAGAGGGTTAAAGTTGATTTTTTTTTATTACGATTTCTAAATTTTATTTTCCATTCTTAGATGTTGTTATATCTAAAGCAAAGTATTTTTTTCTTCTTTTTGACATTAACTCTTGATTTTATCTAGATGATTTTATCTTCATAATAAGGTGAATTTTACGATAATTTTTGTGTTTTAGTTTTAAATTTCATTGAACTTTAAAAGCCAGTTTTTACTTGACGTTAGGAATAAAGTTTTTTTTTTAAATTTTGCTTCTTCAAGTTTAACCCATTTGAAATGTGTTCTAGTGTAAAATCTTAAGAATTTAAATCATTTGTTAAAATTTTTAAAAATTCCTCTTCAAAAAATTAAAAACTTTTAGTCAATAATAAGTTAGCGAATTTAAAAAAAAATTAAATTGAAATGAATGACGCTTAACAGAAACTTTCAGAAAGAAAAACAACCACGCTTTTAAAAAGCAAATAATACTTTATCAGATGAAAAAAAAAATCCCAACAAGCATTGAGCTATATTTCGTTAATTTTGATAATTATTTCGTCCCGAAATCCCTCGATTTGAGACGAAACAGAAACTTGCAAAGGTATGACGAAAATGTTTCCTCGGCTCGTAACCTTATCGTATTGCATTGTGGGAATTAACTTGAATGTTATTGTCTAGTTAACGTTGTTAACTAGAATAACCATACTAGGAGGAAGACTAGACGATTTGAAAAAAGTATTGAAATAAGCCGATCGGACTGTCTGGTGGTCAAGGAGTTATCTTCGCAGATCCAGGAAGATCCAGGGTTCGAATCCCTTTTCGGTCATTTTGTAATTTGTGTTATTAAGGTGAGATTGACCCAACTTTATGATGCTCACGTTAAAGAGATTATTGAAATTGTTATATACAGTAGATACTGGATGTTTTTTTGTTGAAAAATAATAGAATGATTAAATGATTGTGAACGATAATGATTTTTTACTATTGATGAAATTCGTTTCCTTGGAGAAGTAACGATAGTAATTTCGTCACTTAGACGAAATGTTCGTTCGGAGCATATACCAGGAGATGGTTTCCTCAAAAACGAAAAAAAGTTACGTGGAATTTGAATATCAATTCTTTACAGTGTATGACGAAACGCACCCTACGTATCCCTTCAATGTTGCGTCATTCATAAATTTCATAAACGCTTTCTTCTGCTCTTCGAGCGTTATTCGTTTTATTGTACTTAGCGTAACACTAAGAATAATACTTATTTTTAATTAATTACCATAACAATAAATAAAATTATTGACACTCAATATGCATAAGTATAATTAATACAAAATATAGAACACTTTGTTTGTTGAAATGAACTATTCGCTTTAATTTAGAAATTTATAAAAAATAGTTATACGCTTTTATGCTTGGAGCAGCTCGCATGCTTTATGTTTCAATTCCTTGTTGCTAACGCGAAAAATAAACTTTGTCACTGGGTTAGAGACATGTACGTATAGAAAATATTTTTTAAAGTTCACAAACATAATTCTATTCGAAAAAATAATAAATATATTTTTTTTCTAAAAAAAAATTTTTTTTTATGTCTGATGTTATATTTTTGAAAGTTGGATCTGTCAACTTCGAGAAAACATGAGTTGATATAATAATTTTAGTTAGTTTTAGAGATGAGCCGCTCAGAAGCCAATGCGGTTAAGTCCATTTTTTGATATTTTCTGATTTTTGGAAATTTTGATGAAATAAATGATAATCTTCCTAGTTATTAAAGGATTTACTCGTTGGTTACTTTTTTCTAGGTCAGAGTTTACACCTCGAAAAAAGACTTTATACACTTTTCTAATTAGTACACTTTCTACACTTTTCTAAGTATGACTTAGATTTGACATATTATAGTGTTAAAACACCACACAACCTACTAGATTAAACTTTAGCACTTGAATGAATTTAAAAATATTGTCAATTTTTCAATTTCTCGATATATGAAAAAGTGGATTTATTATTCTACTTTCGAAATTAATGACTCGTATGATTTTGAACTTAAAACATTTTAAGAAAAGTAGTAAATAAATAAAAGAAACCTTTTTTTTTTAGCAAAATGCAATAATTTAAGTACCGTAACTCTCTTTTTTAAAAGGCTTTACTTAAAGGATAAAAAAAGTAGTCTCAAGAATAAGGTTACTAAATTAAAGGGACAAAAGTTTCGGAAACTTTTCGAGTTCTCTGGCATTTTTTGTTGTCAATACAATTCTTTCCAATCGGAAGGGATAACGGGAGGTAACACTTTTCCGTTGCTGTGTTCACATCTTTCCTATTTGTGAAGAACATGGTTCGTAATCAGGTTTCCTAGAAACACGGTCAAAGCTTAAGAAATCCTTACGAATTACTCTCGTTAATTTCTTCGAGTTTTTCTCGATGGCTTTGTTGAGATAAAATGCTGCCATTCAATTAATCTCGAGAAAAATACGTTGATTTAATGGTTCAGAATAACTGTGACATGTTTATTTGACAAGTTTATTTTTTGTTCAGTTGATTAAGGAAATGATTGTCTGAAATATATAAGTAAAAGCGATTTAAAATGAATGACTTAAACTTAAAAAAAAATGTATGCTAAATATTTTTATGTATAATATATTCTGTGGGATATTATTTTAAATGTATTTTTTACTTGTTGAAATATTATTTTTTTCCTAAATTGAGTGAGATATTACATTATAATATTTTAAAATGAAGCGCTTTAAACAGTAACATTCAAATTTGCTGCAAGTTTTCTGCGGTATGTTGAACGACATTTATTACAGTTTGATTATTCTAACATCTTTTTCATTTTATCGTGTTGCGCTTTTTTGCGTTTTATCTTTTTTTTTTCTTCTTCTTTCTTGTTGCGATGTAAGCATAGATTCATACATTTGATGGCAAAGAATAGTATTTTAGAGGAGAATACTTAGTTACTCGCTCCCGTTCCATGTTAAAATTATGAACTTAAAAATAGTTTTTCTGCGAATCGATTTTCTAAACCTCTTATTTTATTTTATTTTATTTTATTTTATAATCGTCGTTGAACAGCCGATCCAATTTCCGGGTTTACGACTACTAATGTTCAACTCCGTAGCCTTGTAATTTTGAACCCAATCTAGAAGACAAGGGAACTCCTGGATTAAGTACTGGGTGAAATTTGCCTTCGTGGAGGATTTTTTGATGGAACTAACCCGCATTTGCGTTACATGGAGAGGAAGACCACGAGAACCACCCACGGTTAGCCTGATGACAAGGGGACTCTAACCCATGATCCGTCTACCACTGAGGATATTTCACGTCAGCACTGTGGTCGGTGCAATCCGGATGCGGAATTCGTATCGACCAGCCATCGCCGGGATCGAACCCCGGTTCACCTCATTGGAAGGCGAACGCACTATCCCCTGAGTCATCGCGGCTCCTAAACCTCTTATTGAATGTTTTACTACTGTGTTAAAATTTGAGCTACACTAAACAATAACATCGTTCAAATTCGATTTATATGCAATTTTAATGTACTTCCAAGATTGTATAAATTATGGAGCCAATAAGTACTT